CCAACAAGTTGCACTTTGGAATGACCTTATTATTGTATCATGTTTTTGATCTGAGTTTGTTTTACAGAATGAAATGTCTGAATGAGTGCTCATCAAAGACTGGTGATTCCATACTTTTTGCCAGGAGTTGTATATCTGAAACTCATCAGCTGGTGAGTCAAAGACATTAACATAAATAAAAATGGACAACACCATGAACTACCACTGCCCAAAAGGGAAGCCTTCTTTGGTTGCTGCCATGTTGTATTGTTAGAGAATCTGCATATAAAGGGCTGCACTATCAATAATATCCTACCTACCCCTCCCCACTTGCTAAAAGGCTATCCTGTTGTCTGTGCCGAGGTCCCCCTTGAAAAAGAGATCTCAATCTCAATGGGGTTTTAAATTTGGTTAAATAAAGGAACTACAATTGTCAGTCAGCGTACACAGTGTTTCCTTTACTATTAAAAAAAGAGGGCGGGCCGCCCTCCCAAAGAAACCACCCGTGCATTACTGTCATAGTTAGGTTTATAGTTTGTCATGAGAATCTGAAATTCATTGCTGTTAATAAAACTTTTTCATGTTATGTAATTTTTATTAAAAAATGCTGATTTCTCTTTTAAAAAATAGTAGTAATGCTTCTGCTGTTGATTATCATTTAACAATCCTATCCTTTTATCTTCGATTTCTAGCCTTCCACGGTCCTGGACACGGCTCAATTTCTTGGGTGTCCAATCCTGATCCTCAAGGGCTGCTATCCTGCAGGTTTTACTTGTTTACCTGCTCCAGCGCACCTCATTCAATGATTGAATTACCTCTTCAAGTTCCACAGAAGCCTGTTAATCACCCATTCATTCAAATCGGCTGTGTTGGAGCTGAGAAACTTCTAAAACATGCAAAATTGTGACCCTCGGGGAGCAGGATTGGACGCTTCTGGACTAGTGCATTTTTAATGTTAGACAGCAATGTTAAAACAATGTTTTGCTATTAAAACATATTAATAATATCTCCCTGTGTATATGTAGCTAGAGTAGCTGGAAAAACTGGTAAGTATGTTCTGTTCATTTCGTTAGCTAATTGCAAAGACAGCAGATCAATCTAAGAGCATAAAAAATCCATCCACAACAGCATGCTGCTGATGCCTGAAGATTTGTACCCCTTTGATAGTTTGTAGGGCAAGTCTGGAGGCTTGTAAGCTCGGCCAAKTAGGCCAGCTTCAGAAAACGCTCTGTTTTTGGTGTGGCTTTTATGAACAGAGGTGTCAAGTAACAAAGTCTATATACTTTGTTACTTAGGTAAAGATTTAGGTTATTTATGCTATACTGAATAATTGTTTTTCAGCCAACTTTTTACTTCTGGCTTGTCATTGTTTAAATAAATAAATAAATAAATAAATAAATAAATAAATAAATAAATAAATAAATAAATAAACTATCCATAAAGGCGCCTCCCGGACAGGGTGAATTTAACTGTGAATGGATGAGACGTGTAAATACATAACATTCTGATGCCCTATAGGTTAAATTAATCCATCGCACCTGTACATGACACAAATCACTTCACACTGCAGCAGGATGACCCCACCCAGTCATTGCTACTTCCCATCTCTCCCAGACGCATTCAACCTTTATCTTTTTATCAAAATAAAAAATAAAAAAACTTTTATTTGATAAAGGAAATTTTTAATTATTCAAATTTGTTCTGGAGGTGTTTATATACAAATGATAAATCGATATTTTCACAACCTTTGAGGAAATAAGGACATGACGCCCTCGTGCTCTCTGACCCCTCCACCCCCAGCAGGGTGGGTCCCCGAGGTTGGGAGCAACTGGCTTAGTGCATCCCAAATTTTTCAACATTATAAGAACCTTTATTTTACTACACAAGTCAGTTGAGAATAGTTTTCATTTACTGTGATGACCTGGTCAGCAGTTTAATTTAACATTTTTGTCATTTAGTACAATGGAAACAAAACAAAAAAAAAAAACTGTTGAAATGCAGAAACACTTTTCTGGCTGAATCACCGTTTTGCCACTAGCTGTTTAACTCCAAAACAAATAGGTCAGATTTAATCTATTTGCATAATAACCTGAGTTTTTTTTAAGTCTCATAAAGTCTTTTAAGCACTTAGCATATTTATGCTCCTGTGAAGAACCTGCTGCATATCACAGTGTAACACTCAAGCTAAGTGGTTTTTAATGAAGCTATGCTGCATTAACCTGCTGTGAAGCCACTGTATTTTATATATCCACAGGTGAGCAGGCCAGCTTGCTTACTATCAAACACAGAAGCGATCATCAAGAGATCCACAGGACAGGGCAGCAATAGTGGGAGAGGGGCTGCGGGGGGCTCTGGTTACTTGCGTCGATGACTCAGCAACACCCGGGGGGGCTCCCAAGCTCAAAAACAATGGGCCCCTGTGTGCAGGAAACATTGACACAACCTGTCCCATTTCCCTCCCTCCCCGCTCACTCCCAAGCTCTCCCTGAATTTCTCTTGTTGGTGGGTTTGTTCTCTCACCAACCAGTTGACAGCGAGGAATGTTAATTAAAGGCCACGAGAACCAGAAGCACACAAAATAAGAGCTTACTGGGACACGGGGGGGAGCGATAACAAGCAAACAATGATGTGTGTCACTTTGAAGTGGAGATGTTGAGATGAGATTTGTGACCAAGTGACCAGGGATTGATTAATGAAACAAAATGAGTGTTTTTCAGGAAATGAGCTGTGAGATAAACAGTTTCATAAAACTGGAGAAAGTTAGGACCTCTTGACTTATAATACTCTGTTCCTTTATTTCTATAATATACTTCAGCTATAGAATGAAGCGTGTGCAGCTTTTGTGTTTGTTTTTACTGATTGCATATCAAAAAACAAGATACAGCGGACAGTTAAAATATATTGATATGTGTTCGTACATGTTTTAATTCAGTCATTCAAAAAATCCTACTTGCTTATAAACTAAGCACTCCATGAAATTAATGGCTTCTGCATGTACAAGAAAACACAAAAGAAGAGGTGTGTATCAGGAAGTTAACAATGAGTCAAACTGTACCTTCCAGTTGGCCAGTTCCTGGAACTCAATAATCTTGATGAAACCTCCCATGAGAATCCCTAGAAAAAAGTGTAGATAAATGTCACGACTAAGTAAATACTTTACAAATTCTCTCTGCAAACGTGTCAATGCAAACATATGCATAMAGGTTTTAAACGGTTAAAATAAAATAAAAAACAAATAGAATGTTAGAAATAAACCACAATCAAAACTCTTGTAACGTATTTCAGAGAATAATTATTTGCAAACATGCTTTTAGAAAATCTTTCTGTCTTGAAAATTCCCTTTTTTTGGCCTTCAGATTTCTTGCGGCACATAAATTATAAAGACACAAGTGTGAAGGGCAGAGARAAAGGAAACAAAGGCAGCAAAAGAAATTAAGTCTAAGCCTTGAAAGCCTTGTATGAGATGCACAGATATTGTAAGATGGAAAGGGATAGTGCAGACAAAGGCAAACAATGAGAAAAAAGGATGAAAGAGGAAGTGATGGGAAAGGAAAAGCAAGTCTTCCTGATGCGTTAACATAGCATTATCTCCCCACGGCACAATGGCATCCCCTTCCTTCAAATGTTGATAAAAGCTCGGCCTTATATTCAACATGCAGGCTGCACAAGGGTGGGAAGGMCCTCAAGAGTCCAGATGGATGAGTTTCAGTGAATTCTAGTGAGTGTGCATGCACAAGCATGTGAGAGGGGGCTGCAAGGGCTGGAATTAGGAGGAGATTCACATGTGATCAGATATTCAACCACCCCCGCACACAATCCCCTTCCTGTCTTTTACCATTCTGCCATTTTCCTTTCATTTCCAGCCTTTTTTTAAAGATATTTAGAACATAATGTACTACTTTTCATGGTTGGAAACTTTCTATGAAAGTTCATGGCCTAATGTCTTCATCTTAACTTCATATCTTCAATGAATGCACTATAGCTTTTTCTTGTGTATCAGTGTAAATAATCAAGGTGATAAGGTTGATCATTCTTTGCATTCTTCTAATCGTCTCAGGGACAAAAATGCCATCCAGGTTATTACCCTCCAGAAGTTTAGCTCCTGAAAAAGAACCCTGTCTTTTTTTTCCGTTAACATTAGAAGAGTCAGAATCATTTTGGATCCCTCATATTTTATGCTTCCGTTTGATTATATCTTCTGCAAACACAACATCATTTTTCATTTGCTATGCTAGAAATACTCTGACCTCCCTGGCCTTGAATCCAGAGAAGTTCACAACTGTCACAGATAAAAAAAAACTGTGTGGTTATTTTTGGTCTTCCCAACACCTCAATAAGATTAGCAAGACAAATCGACTATTATTTTACAATTTTCCAGCTCGTGGCAGGAACATTACTGTCATCTCTGACTTTGATCTAAATTTAACCATTAGTGTACCAATGAAATTAAAAAATATATTAATTTTTCCCAATCGAGAATTATGATGAACTAATATGTATTGTTTTTTGCTAAGATTAAAACAGCAGTTAACACAGCTTGGGATACACMGACGTTCTTCCTGCTCAGTTTTAGCCCCAACAAACAGAAGGATTGTACCTATTTAATATACATCAATGTATCTAGTTGTGCTCATTACAAAAAGCTAACTAAGTGCAGTCTTTAAAAAAGGCCCAACATGTAGATCAAATACTAACTGGCTGAAAGTCAATATTCAACATAAAGAGGATGAAATGAAAAGAAACTAATAGATTTAACATTTTCACTTCTCCACAAAACCGATTTTTGTCCACAGTGACTATTCTTTTTTATAGCAGAGCAAAGCAAAATGACAAAAAACAAAAATCAAATAAAACAGAACTAACAAAACCGAGACTAGCCCACATCTTACGTGGTTAAACATATTTCAGACTGCAGAAAATAGCAACAACATACTTCACTATGAAATTAGATTTTTGCAATGTCATTGTGGCAGAGAAGTTGCATGACTAAGATCAAGTCTTTAATAATCTCAAGGTTAAATTATTGTAATTCGATAGACAAACTCTGCTGTTCATCCTACAGCTCCTATAGAATTCTGCAGACAGAAACCTGACTGGAACCAGAACAAGAGAGAAAGAATAGTATTCTTCCTTCTTCAGTAGTATTTCATTGCAGACGTGTCAAGTAATGAAATACAAATACGTTGTTACTTTACTTAAATAGAACTTTTAGTAATTTATATTAACTGGAGTAAATCTTTTTCAGGCAACTTTTTACTTGTACTCCCTACACTTGCATGCAGTTATCTGTACTCTCTACTCCTTACATTTTAAAAATGTGAAACATATTTCATTTCTATTTCACTTCAGCTTGTTTTCATTCTGGCTTGTCATTGTTCCAAAAAGTAAAAAAAAAAAAACTATCCAGATATGTGGCACCTCATGGATAGAGTGAATTTAGAAGTGGTTGGATGAGAAGTATAAACATATACCATCTGACACCCTATAGGTTTGTATGATCCATCACACCTATGGCACAAATCATGTCATGCTCCAGCAGGACATAGCAGACGTACAGCTGGTAGACTAGTATTTTATTTTACCTGGAGCAAACCCACGCAAGCACAAGGAGAACATGCAAACTCTGCACAGAAAGACCCAAGGTCCGAACTGGGAATCGAACTCAGGACCTTCTTGCTGTGAGGCGTCAGTGCTAACCACTGAGCTGTCGTGCTGCCAAGTATGACGACTGTGGTAAAGACTAGGGCTGCTCAATTATTGCTAAAAATTATAATCACAATTTTTTTATTGAAATTGAGATCTAGAA